TAGATGTGTATAAGAGACAGACATATAAATGGGTAAGTACAAATAATTTTTTTGAAAAGTTATCTTACCGAATGTAGACTTGACAAGATTTTTTTCAGCTACCCAGTCTTTTTTGGCAAGAGAGAACCACAAAGAGTTCTCAAGATCTCCTCCCTGGTTTGCAAAGCTGCTATGTAGGTTCTGAGATAAAGTTAAAAAATCGAAGTTACAGTAACTTGTAAGAGCATTCAATAACTTCACTAGTGTAGTTTGTATTTCAACATATTTTTTCTGGTGTCTATGGTTGGAGAACTCTGTATCTATTTGCATGTCCGTTTACGTGGTTACATCTTGCAAATGACTAACAAACCCATCACTGCAAGGTTTCAGATGTCGGTGCTCAGGAAAATCCAAGAAAATGACTATTTCAAAAAAGTATTTACAATGTTATACAGTACGAAAATACTGTATAACAATTATTCTACTCTAGTTAGTCATTTGGCAAGGCGTTATCATTGCCTCCACCCAGGAGTAAAAGAGGGTGCTTGGTAGGTTCCAAAGTAAATACTAGCTGAAACATGTGATTAGCATTTACGGCGAATGCACAAGATTTAGGCCTAGTAGTGTAGATAGTAGACCCCAGAACTGCTGCTGCTAGGCCTAAGAAGTAGTATAGGCCTAGAATAGTAAGGTACGATTTTGTGCATCATCTTCATAGCAATCTTTGGCGCAAAATTGCTAGGCCTACGTAGGGTAGGGCCGCCGAGGGCTAGCCACCACCCCCACCCTAACTAGACTAGGCTAGGCCATGCCTAGCTACTTTACTTACTTACACTTTCAACCTCCCGTTTTCGTCGGTATATAGATTTCGTTGTTTTTCTTTTTTGGTCTGAGATGGCATTTCCTCAACATCTTCTTCCTCGTTGTCCTTTATTCTACCCACTTATTAAAAGTTTTTATATTTTTATCTTTCTTGAGAAAGAGGAAAAACGATATAGTCAGGAGGCATTTGTCATTTTTTTGGCCTTACTTCAATTATTTAGCCAAGTTTGATTTTTCACTTTTATGTGATCAATGACACCACAACAAACAATTTTCAGCTTATTGTCCAATTTGTAGATCCGTTTTTCACTCGTTGGGGGCGCTTTAAAAAATGGCGGTTTGTGATATTGGTGCTTATATCTCGGCAAACACTGATAGTAGAAGCTTCTAAATGGTCTCAAAATGTTCACAATGTATATATTACTATTTGCGCTAATAGAACATTTTGCTGAAAAATGGCCGGAAATGCCATTTCTGGCGATTTGACCTTTGACCTTATGTTCATATCTCTGTAAATACTAGTCGTACAGACTTGAAATTAATTTCAAATTGTTCGCAATATGTATATTTATATTTACTTTAATGAACATGTTTGTTCAGAAATGCCAGGAAACGTCATATTTGACCTTTGAAAAAAAATGCGTTCCGGTATATCCTTTACTGACTTTACTTAGATAAGGTATTTTGGTCATAAAAGTGTTATAACATTATATTAATAATTTCTTCGGTAGGAAATATTGTCAATTCGTTAATGTCACAAAAGGTTCCTGAATGGTATGTTGGGATTGCAGCGCCTTTGTATAGAAGAAGCCCCACTGAATGGCCCGTTCTCCTTACAATATTAATGCAAGCACAGAAGAATAATTGTGTTACTGCTGGGGAAGGTTGCAGACCAATTATTTCACTAGATGGTGATTTGTATGATCGGGCAGTTAAGCTAAAGAACTACAAAGAATACTGGTGCATCAGACTAGGAGCTTTACATATAGCAATGGCAGCTTAAAATGTCTCGGTAAATATACTGAAGGTAGTGGAATATATCTAGCATGGGAAGAATCAGGTCTCTACGGATCTGCAACAGTACGACAGATCATAGAAGGACGCCATATATACAGAGGTATTGAGGCACATACGGTGACACTTATTGCATTACACCATTTGTTCATGCAGACAGTGTTCAACGAAACTGAAAGAGAAGAAATAACAGACAAAGTTCAGAAAGTTATGAATTCTTTTGAATCATATCACAAT